GCGGCCCCGGGGGACGCGGGGCGGCGCATAATGAAGTGTGCAAAAAGTTAATTTGCTCTGCGACTCGCTGCTTTCCACAATCAAAGGCAGGCGACGAGGAGGTGGGGGTGAGGAAGGGTCCCCTCTCCCTAGTCGTGCTTGTGATCCCGAGGCGAGGCGGGGTGCTGGAACAAGGAACTCCCCAGCCCTGAGAGATCCAAGACTTGCGCTCTAACCCGCGTGCGCTCTGTCCGCTGTGTGCACCCAGCAGCGCTCGCCCCCCTCGGAGGCCGCTGTCCTCTGCTGGATGCAGAGTGGCTGATAGTTCCGGAGCTCACACTGCTCCGAGTGGCCAATCCTTTGGCTGGCGCGGGTTCCTTTTCCCTGCAAACCCTGGGGCCTGAGAGGCCGCTTGGAGGAAGAGGAAGCCAGGCCCTGGGTGCTTAGAAAGCACTCCAAGGCCCCAGGGCTGTTTCTTCCCTTGCTGCCCAGATAGCAGATGGAAAATAGGTAGAGGGGCAAGTCTCAAGACAACTACACAGGACAGCAGGGACGATGGTAGTATTGACACCATTGCGTGAGGAGGAGCCCCCAGACCCAACTCACAGTGTCTGGACAGGGTCAGTTTCCCTGGGCATGTGTAGGGAAGAGTGAACAGATTACAGGTGGGGAGTTAGAGCTTGGATTGTCCTGCACCACAATCCAGTCAGCTGGAGAGGAAATGTTTATCTCAGTGTCTAGCTAGTTCGAGAGGACACACGATTCTAAACTCAGCTGACCCACCTTGAGACAAAGGGAAAGTGGGAGGGTCTTCTCTGGCTTCTCAGGAGGTTCTTGCAAAAGGGGAAAGGTCACAGGAAAGGGGGAATCATCCACCAGTCCCCAAAGAGTGGACAGCGAGTCTGACAAGTCACATGGGGAAGGGTCGTTCAGTTTGTTTAGCCATTTCTCTGAAAAGAGAAGAGTAGGGAGAGCTCAGAAGACAAAAGACTGGAGGTGTTTCTTACCGGTTGCTATTCTCCAGGAGAACAGGGGGCTCGGAGGCTCATGCTGTCCCAGGCTGGCTGATGGCACAGGGAGAAACCCTGGTAGTTTTCACAGTAGATCTACTGAGCAGCTTCAAGCCATTGCTTGTGAGGAACTATCTGGACAAATCATTAACCTCTCCTCCCAACACCTTAAGGATATCAGCAAGAGCAAAGTGGAGGACATGGGATATGGGAGGTGCTCCATGAAGGTCAGCTCAGCAGTGCTGCTGTTTTCTCAGAGAGGAGTGGGACCAGGGTTGGAATTCAAGCTGTGGTCTCAGGACCACCCACACACACACACACACACAACACCAGCCACCTGAGTCCCAAGTACTGGGTGCCCTGAAAAAAAAGGAGCCAGCCTGCCTTCCCCAAGAGTCTCGCACCACCCTAAACAGACAATAGGGCATAAGTCGGGCCACCATGGAGACCTCTGAGGAGGTTCCAAGGCCCCCTTTTTGAGATGCAGTGTCCAGGCCAGACTGGCCAGCTCACCCTCTGCCTCTGACTGGTGGCTCCGAAGTCCTGGCTCCCTGACTCACTGCCCAGGCCTTATCCTGGGCTACAGCCAGGCCAGGAGAATGGTGAGCAAGCCCTTGAGGGTGACAGGAGCCAGGCTTTCAGGCGAGAAGGGGAAGGGTTACAGCCAAACCAAGATTTATGGGCCTGATCATAATAATGAAAGAAAAGAAGAAAAAAAGGACGCGTGTTCGGCAATGCCCAGGGACCAAGACTGCTGCCCTATTACCAAAAATGTCGTCGCTCTCGACTCTGCAAATTAGCATAAAACATGCTGTTTTGCATCCATTTGCATCTCATTTGCATACTAATAACTTGACGCCACAATGCACCCAGTCTCCTAAGAGGTTTCTAGTCTTACATTTTTTTTCTTCCAGCCCCTGTCCCCTTGTCTTTTCCAGAGAAAACCAGGAGATCTAGGTTCTAGGCTAGGCTGGGCCACTCACCCTGGACTGCCCTTTGCTCCTCTTTGTTTCAGTTTCCCTGACTGTAAACCTAAGGAGACAAACTGAGTGGAGTTTTCCAGTTTATGCTCCATTAGCCCTCTTGGGGGCTGCAGGCAGAGACAGGGGAGCAGGTGGACAGGCACACCCCATCCCCTCCGAACAGCTGGGGCTGCAAGCAAAATTTCTCTTGAGCTTCTTTATTAAAAATAAAGACCAAAAAGTTTGCAAACAAATAGACTCAGTTTTTCCACTGAGTCTTTCCAGTGCAGTGTTCTCTAAAGACTTTGATAGTAGTAATCTTTGCTCAGATGCGTGGCTCTTACACGGGGGCAGGCACTGTTCTAAGCATCAAATTTTCATCTTCTTTCACTCAGTCTTCAAACAACCCTTGAAATAAATACTAGTATCAAACTTAAATGGGTAAACTGAGGCACTAGAAATATCAGTAACTTAGCTAAGTTCACACAGCTGCCGCACGATCAAGTTTCAAACCCAAGCAGTCCGGCACTGGTAACTACACCACAAGTTTACCCAGGTCAGCCTTTCCACTGTACAGATGAGGAAATAGAGGCTCAGTGGGGGGAGGAAATTTCTTCACAGAGCAGCTGAATTGGTCAGGCTCTTTGCCCCCAGGGAATGATGGTTGGAGAAGAGAGGCCTCAAACTGCAAAGATGGCCCAATGAGCTCTGGGAGGTGGGGCTTCTTTGCTTTTTTTTTTTCTTTTTTTTTTTTTTTGCTTCTTTGCCAGCCACACCAAAGGCCTGCAGCCTCCTGCTCAGTCAGCCTCGCCCCAGCTGGTGGATTTCAGGGAACAGGCCCCTGAGCCAGGCGGGACGAGCCCCTAAATCAGAGCAGCCAACAGACTGAAGAGCACCAGGTGTGCCAGCCACAGACAACATACAATGCCCCCATCCACCCGGCTATGCAGGTGGAGGCGCCCCAAGGGGGGCCTTGGGAAGGGGGGCAGGGAGCTCTATTTCTGCATGCAAAGCCCCTGCTGGCCAGCAGGTGCCAGGCCCACTCCTGGGGGTCTGGCTGGGAAACCCCCAGATGCAGAGATAACTAGGCCCCCTGAGGGGTGCCCTGTGGGGCCAGCCATTCCTCCCCTTTATTCAGTGCCTCTCCGCCCCCCTTCCTCTTGCCAACCTCCCCCTCTGAATTGGCCCCTTTTACCCTGCTCAGCCACCTTGGCCTCCTCGCAGTGTTTCCCATGCTCCAAGCTCAGTCCCACCTCTGTGCCTCGGCACCTGCGGTTTTCCACCTGGAATGCCTTGCTTGGCCCTGGAGCACCCATCTTTTGGGTCTCAGCTCAGGCCACCTTCCCTGGCCACCCCAGCCAAGAGAACCTTCCGCCACCTCCTGGATGCTCCTGAGCACACTCACCTTGTCTTCTTCTCGGTCACTAACATGGCCTGAACCTCTTTTGCTCATCTGGGTCACCTTTCCCCCCATGATTCTCTCCCTGCAGGGGAACCAGGACCATGTCCATCTTAAGGCAAAATAGTTCTCAATAATTATTTGTTGAAGGAAAGAAATAGAGAAGACAGTAGCTGTGGATGCTTTATTTGGTATCAATCTTCCCCATCCCACCCTGCCCTAGAATGTCGGTTTCAGGACAGAGAGAGGAATGAATATTTGATATGTTTCCTACTATGCTCTCAGACCTAGCAATAGTAGGTGTTCAATAAATATTTGTTGCATGAAAAAGCAAAGCTGGCAAGAGCTCTGAGCCAGGATCAAAGCCTGAGTCCCTTCCCAGCACTGTTCACCAATAACCCCATGCCAGATCTGGAGGGCAAGTTCCATTCCCCCTGGGGCTCTCAGTTTCTTCTCTGAAAGCTGGACTTGGGGACCCCTGCCACCCTGACCAGGACCATGGAAGGTCAAGTGTGGCCCATCCGCATTCATTCCCAGGGGAGGTGGACTGTACAACTGCCAGGAGGTGAAGAGGCAGGCAAATCTGGGTATGCAACCTTGGGGAAACCTGTCCCTCTCTTCCTACCATCTCATTTGAGAAAGGGACACTGTGAGGACAGCTGTGAGGGCTACATGACTCAATGGCAGGAACAGTGCTGTGCAGAGTGTAACATGGCCCGTCTGTGGCATAAGCATGACAGTATAGTAGGACCTCCACGGAACGGCCCTACCCAGCCAGTGCTCTGCTTCTTTGTCTGCAAAAAGAGTTCTCATTGGGTGTACACCAGTAGTCCCAACTACTCTGGAGGCTGAGGCAGGAGGATCCTAAGTTCAAGGTCAACCTGAGCAACTGAGAAAGACCCTATCTCAAAATTAAAAAAAAAAAATAAAGTGACTGCAGTCAATTAAACCGACTGGATTCCTCTGCTGATGAGTGCTCAGCGTGCAACGCCTGTGAACAGCAACCTCTTCATTAGTACACACAGCCTGCTGCTTGTCTGCACTGCCCTAAGGAACCTTGGAGACACTGCTTTCTGGTGGATGCTTGCGTATTTGACCTCCTGCCGTCCCCAGTCCAGACTCCAGACAGGTATGCTGCGGGGCACCTTTGGGAAGCCCCAGGGCACAGTGGTGAGGGTTCACATTGGACAGGTCATCATGTCCATCCACTGCAGAACAGGAACGTGTGATCGAGGCCCTGTGCAAAACCAAGTTCAAATTCCCTAGCTGCCAGAAGGTCTGCATCTCCACAAAGTGGGGATTCACCAAGTTCAATGCAGACAAATGTGAACACATGGTGGCAAAGAAGTGCCTCATTCTTGATAGCTGCAGGGTGAAATACACCCCACACTGAGGTCCCCTGGAGAGATGGTGGCCTTTGCACTCCTGAAGGCTTCCACTGTGCTGCCCCCCATAACAAGTTCATCAATAGATCTTATCTCTGCCCCACAAAAAGGAAGGGGAAGCCTAGGAGGTAGCCCGGTGATAGAGCACAGGCTTAGCATTCAGAGACCCTGCGTTTGATCCCCAGCACTGAAGAAAGAAAGAAGAGAAAGCAAAAGAGTCCTGCAGGGTATTGTAGGGATTAAAATGAGGAAATGTTTGCACAGGACCTGACACAGAAGAGGTACTTTATTAAGTGCCTCTGTGGCTGTTCGAGTCTCGTCGAAATAAGCAGAGAACAAAAGGAGACACAAGATGAAGTTGGAGGTCAGTGTGGCTCGAGTGTTGTTGGCGGTGGACTAGGACCAGGGTACAAGGTGGGGACGAGCCTGGAACGATGAGCCAGCTTGAGATCAGCAGCGCTGAGGATGAAATCCCAGGATTTATCCTTTAACACAGGAGCAGAGGGCAATACAGAAGAAGTTTAGGCAGGGAAATAAAGTGATCTGATGACAAAATGTGCACTTGGGCTGCAAGGTGGAGCTCAGAGGTACAGTGCATGCTTAGCATCTCTAAGATCCTAGGATCCAGCCCCAGCACCAAAGCAACAACAAAACAAAAACTCAAACTGCTCACTCCAGCAACCAGACGCCAGGTGTAGCTGCCATTACTGCCGGTCCCCAAGTGCACTCCCTTCCTTTCCCACTGGCTCGTGGGCACCCAGAGGCGACCCACCCTTCCCAGCCTCTTTTACAATTAGACGTGGCCCTGGTCCACATCCCTGCCAAGAGGAGGTAGGTAGAGCAGCACCTGCAACTTCTGGGGCTGGAGGTCTTTAAAAACAGGGGTACATACTTTGCCTATTCCTCCTCCCCTCTGGCTGGAATTTGGACATGGTGACTGGAGATTGAGCAGCCATTTGGAACCATTAATTGTTGCAGGTAGAACAATAAAACAGAAGGAACCAGATCTCTGAGGATGGAAGAACCATCACACCTGCCTGGGACTGTCTGCCTCCAACTGTTTATAAGAAAGCAGATCAGTGTTTGTTTCCTTTAGTCACACTTTTTGTGGGCTTGCTGCCACTCACAACCAGCTCTAAGCCAAAATGCTCCACCTGGCACATACGATCATGGAGCTCGGAGGCCCACCTTAGGCATATAGGGCCCAAGATGCTCCTGGGTCCTCCCTTACTGCACGCTGACAGTGAGGCTCCTGGCCCTGATTGTCCGGCTCTGCCTATCTGAGGGCACTGCCCATGGCTGGCTAGAGTTTTATCTTAACATGGCTTGAACCATGCTGAGCCCATCATAAACACTCACTAATGTTAGTGGAAGTCCTTGGGTATAACAGCAGCATGGTTCAATCCCCTATGTGTGTAGAAATAGTCACATCCAGAAACCCTAGGCATAAAGGGGTTAATGGAAGAAGCAAGGGGAGAAGTCTCTGGATCCCACCATCCCCACTAAGCCAGGACAGGAACCAAGAGAGAACTTCAATAATAACAGATAATATGTCTTAATATTCTGCCAGGAATGAAGCCAAGCACTTTCCATGTATGATCTGATATAATCCATGCAGCAATCCAAGAGGCAGAACCTATGATGATGCCCATTTACGGATGAGGAGCCAGAGGGTCAGAGAAGCAATAGGTCTTGCCCAAGACCACACAGCCAGGAAGAAGCACAGCCAAGACTGGAACCAAGGCTGTGGGTGGTCAGAGCTGGGCCTCACTCCCTGAGACTAAGCCGGGCAGTAGTCCAGCCTGCCAGGTGGAACAGGCTGTCCTGACTGTTTGGTGACAGACAGAGAGGGCTTGTTTTGCTGGCTGGAGAGCCAGGACCAGGAGGTATGTCAGCTGTGAGCCCACAGCCACAGGCTGAGGAGTGGGGCCAAGACCTCCGTCTGGAGGGGTGCAGGGAGAGAGTGGCGAGAACCTGGAGAGCCAGGCAGAACATCATAGAACAAACATAAAGCCAGGGCCACAGGACAGGCCCTGAACACCGACTGCTCCCTGGAGCCCTGACCAAGGGGTCACTGGCAGCCACCTGGAGCTGGAGGTGGGAGGAGCTTCAGCTGTCACATGGGGAAGCCGAGGATAGGAAGGGGCACCACTCCACACAGCCAAGATCAGTCAGAGAGGCCCAGCACTGTGTCCACCGGCACCTAGGGCCAGGACAGTCCCGCCCAGTGGCCCTTGCCTTGACTGCTCTTTGGTTCTCCTCTACTCCCTTTCCCTTCCTCCCCTCCTGCCTTTCTCCCACCCTCCTTCCAAGTTCCTTCCCTCTTTCCTTTCTTCTATTTTTCTCTTCCACGCTGACCTCCTTGTTCTCCCCTGCCTCCCTTCTTCTTTTCTTCTCCCCTTCCTTCCTCTCCCTTCCCATATGGAGCCTCACAGATGGGAGAAGTTGCCGCCTCCAGGGACAAAGGAAGGAAATCTCATCTGACCAGGAACTTCACCGTGAAATGCAACACAACTCCCTGAACTGTTGCAATACCAGCCGAGGTGTCCCCAAGGCCCAGATGACCTTTGACTCTCCAGAAATCAAGGGAGTGTTCCCAAATGACAAAGTGTGTCTCCCGTAGCATAGATGTAACCTGGAATCCTGGGAGGCAGCTTTGTGGGGTCCTGCATTGTTCGCTGGGGTGCCTGGGGCTGATTGCTAGGCCCCTCTGAGCCTCCACGTTCACGGCTGAGACAGTCTTAGGGCTGAGAAGTGGGTGAGGCTGGATGACACCCATCGCACGGTCACAGCTGCCTGGCCTCTTGCTGGCATAGGCTTCTGACCTTCCTTTCCGGCCCATGGGGCTGAGCCGGCTCTCAGCTGATGCTGGCATGTGGCTGAGAAGGTGGACAGGCAGGCTGTCAGGGTCGGCCATGTGCCCAGAGAGCCTTCTGTGCCACCGTCCCCTCAGCCAGCTCATCCATCCAGCCAGTGGCCACTTTCTGTGCCCCTGGCAGGACGAGGCTGCAGCCCGGCATCTCCCTCGTCGCCACTCGGTGGATGCAAGCCGCCCCTCCCCCGACCAAGCCCCTGGAAACAGAAGTCTCCAATATAAATGCAAATTTTCTGTGGTCCCCAGTCTCTTGGCAGCTCCACCGGCTGGGGACAGGAGCTGACACTGGCCCAGAGGAGATAAGACACTTCTGGGCCACCCTTGTCCCCAGCCTTGCCCGACTGTCAGCCTGTCAGCCCCACAGGACCCCTGGGAGTCCCACCAGCTCTCTTCTGTATCTCTTCCCTGACCCATAAGGATTGGGATGGGCCTGCAGAGGTCCCCTTGTTCCAACTGAGGAAGGAAGAAGCCCTCTAATGGGGAGGAGCCCAATGAGAGAGGGAGGAAGGGAGCTGGCAGGAAAAAAGCAGGGATACAAGAAACGTGGGAGAAAGAGCAACCATCCTGCACTCAGGTGCCACCAGCCCAAGCATTGCTTTGTGCAAATGAGACCCCCTGCACCCTTTCTTCCTGCTGGGACAGCTCCCAAGGGGTATAAGGCATCCCTGCAGCCCCCAGGAAGGCACCCTCGAGCCCAGCACAGCTCATACAACTGTGACCTGTAGCCTTTGGCAGGGCCCATTTTATCTTTGGGACTCAGTTTCCCTTTGGACAGGGAGGCACCTAGTGATCCCAGTGTTGCACAATGTATACCCACTGCAGGTCCTGGAGCTGTCCGTCCTCTGGCTCCTAGGTTTCATGCCCCAGGATGACTCCAAGACTTATCAGGGATGGAGGAGACTCTGATCCACACAATTCAGAGTCAGGATGGGTCTGGGGTCAGGAGCAGGACTCCCACATGCCACGGCCCAGGTTCCAGTCTAGCACATTCCTGTCCCTGCTGCTAACACCACCTCCTCCCTGATGGGGCCTCATCTGGAACAGCCCCTTTGCTACCTCCAGAGGCCACATCACACTGCCTCATTGGTTTTTATCTCTGTGGTGTTTATCGTTAAGTGAAATTAGCTCGTTCATTTACATCTTTCTGTGGTTATTTTCTGGCTCCCCTCTGCCGTACTGGAATTCAAGTTATGCAAGAACAGACAGCATAGATCAATAACTCCTGCCCTTGGCCTTTTCTAGGGGATCACAACACATCCCTTCCCATCAGGTTAGCAAACTATTCAGCAAGATGGCAGCAGTTGCTGAGCCCAGAGCTCGCACACAGTAAGTGCTCGATAAATGTTGATGTTGCCGGCATGCTAGGACTAGGAGCACCCTGGCCCCAGAGGCCTGGCTCCTCCTGTCCATCTCCACCAGTTCCTCCCATCACGCTGCCCGCACTCACCATGGAGCAAGCTCCTCTCCTCCACTCCCACCCCATGTTCCTGGGCAGATTCCTCTTCTCTATGTCCTCAGCTTCTCTGGAAACAGATGCTGTGATCTCTCCCGGCCTGAAACTTCACCAAGTTGCTACGAGCATCAGGGGACAGAAAGATGGAGACACGACCTGTGAGCCCTACATACGATTCTGGCACCAAGGAGAACTCCAGGCCAGGCATCCTCTCCCTCAGTCTCCTCCCCATGGCCTGGAAATCTAAGGCTCTGCTTTCCCCTAGCCCAACACCACCACATCTCAGGGTTTCTTCCAAGCGGTTGTTTCCATCTGAAGCTGGGTTCCTCAAAGTGTGGACATCATTAGTCTACCTT